AATCATGCCAATATAGAATAACGTTAGAACGTTATTGAGAGACCGTTCTGGAATAATAATCGTAGTCGTAATAGACAGCTTAGTGTAGAGGTCTTTGCGAAAAGAATTGTACCGGTTTTCGTAATAAAACTCCGATTTCGAAATAGAAAGCGTGTCGCTTTCGAAAAAATTCATCATTTTGTGCAGGTAAACCCTTCTTCACACTACAAAACAGGTCTGATTTTCTGAAAAGTGCAGCTAAATGAAAGAGGAGAACGTTATAAGATTACTTCCGGAGGTCCTTCTTTTGGCCTTAGCCGCCAACATCGCTAAGCATATAGGCGGACCGAAGGATGAACTGTTAACGATAAAAAATCTTTTTCGACAAGAAAAACAAACAGACAAACAAACCAACAACAGCCTGTTTCTTTCATGAACGCATTACTTATTAGTCATTTAAAGTATTAGCACAAACGTGCCAGTATATATGTATCCAAGTCGATTTTCTCTACGCTCTCATTTCTATTTGTGCTATGTCACTTTCGAAACAACTCGAAGAAAACGGCCATTTCATAATCGCTTCGAACATAAAAATCAAGTCAATCATTTCTACCGAGAATAGACAAATTACTAAAAACCGAGCTGGCATTGGTTGCTTGCCTACGGAACCGAAATTGTACATCTATTTCGTAAACTATCTGTCTGCCACAGTTAGACATAAAGAACACACGATTAAGTGAATTTTACTTATTATTGTTTAAGTATTTATTTAATTATTAACAGATACTACTAGTAATAGGCAAATTATGGTGAGATTATTCAATAATATCGTATCCATATTCTCTGCTCATATGATGTAATCGGCACTGTGGTGTTTTTTCTCCTCACCCATGGTTTCTATCTCTCTCGCTCGCTCGCTCGCTCTCTCTCGATTACGTTCTATTCCTTTCTCTCTTTCTCTCTCACTCGCTTTCTCTCTGTTCTTTTCGGCTTCCTTACGTTTTCTTTGTTTATGACCGCTCGTGTCCAAATGTCTCTCATCATTTTCATGTATATATTTATCTATCATGTATATGTAACGGTTTACATTCGCTTCATTTTGTGTATCTATATGTGTGTGTGTATGTGTGTGTGCGCGAATATTTGTGCAGCATTGCCCCTGTGTGAGCTGGTCGGTCACGTGTTCCGAGTCTGTGGTGTATGTAGACCATGACATGTTTTTCTGTGTGTCTTTGAGTTGGCGTTGCAAATTACTATTTCATTTTAAGAGTAATACATGGGTGCAATTCCAAGATCTTCCGTTGTCATCTGGCCTCTGTTCTCTATTATTCTGTCAGAGAAGTACTGAACAATGACCAGGTTCCTTTTGATTCGTCTGTTTCGTGATGTGCATGATCGATGTCGGGGTATTTTCCAATAGTTATCATTTGTTGTTTTGGCTTGTTGTTTTACATGGTGCTCGATGCCGTTATTTGGTAAAGATTATGTCTTGCTAGATAAATTCTCTGTTGTCGCTGCTATTACATTAGTCGTGTTGTGTTTTCATTGATCAAGAATCATGTTGGCCAGCAAACGTGCTTAGTCTTCGATTTTCGTTATCTGAGCGTTATTTTTTGTCCGTGCAGGTTTCCTTTTCTACATCTACCTTACTTATCTTTCATCCGGTTTTCAATCACGTTTCTTTTCTGCCTCTGTTACTTACTTATTCCCGTAGTCTCAGAACTTTCGACGTCAGTCCCACTATAAGCTGAACGCGCTGTTGTAGCACGTGACCTGAGAAAAAGACTGCTTCGTATGATTACACACGTTAACAGACGGTGGTGTATCTTATCACGCACGATGCTGTGTTTGATATTTTGGTTCCACCTGGTGTTCCGTGTCCCTTGTGCTTCGACGTCTGAGCAGTCCCGAACAATTTTTCATGGCGAAATATGCACGGGTTCGACCTAACGCATGGTTTTCGCCCAGCCTTTTTGCTACGTTTGGAACATTAGTTGGTAAGGAACCTTCAAGGAATAATGCGATGTATCGTGTTGACTAATGTTTAGGTTGAAGATCAAAGGTCGAGAAAAATCACGGGGCAATTGGCTGGATTATCTTTTTTTTTATTATACTATATTTTTTATTATCAAGCTCTTCTAAACACTCAACCCTGCGAGTGTTTCTCTATATCCGTTCATTTTTAATTACATTACTGTTGTTCTCTTACTACAGAATCATAAGACTAGAATTATATCGACAACCCTAGCAGTATCCGAGATCAATAGAAAAGTAGCCCGACAAAAATGTTACTGAACAGGAGCAGTTCGACGAAGCCTTGACTGTCTTTCAGCTGTAAAAATAACATCCGTAATTTGGACGTCCATAATAAGGACTGAAGTAAAAACGATCCTCTGAGGTGTGTGTCATGATTAATTAGAACAATACGAATTTGTCCTGCCTACAGCTTTCAGTAGATCCTTGAGCGATTCACCTGCTCAGCAACGTAAACCCATTTTAAAGCCCCTTCGTGCGTGGTCACGCCCAAAAGTTGCTGAGAAGTTTCGGATTCCTTGCTTGCAAAGTAGAAACCGGCACAAGGAAGAACTGCAGTGTGCGGCTGCTATCCAATGACACGCTATTGGAATTAGGCGGAATCTGGCGTTGGGAATGTACATCTAACAATGAGCGCACAAAGCGGAGCAGCGTGTTGGCTACGCTAGCGACATGACCTACTATCGCAGCTAATAGACCCACTGTTCCGCATACTTTAGAGTCCCTGGCGCTTCAGTGCTTTCCCTTGGGCTGGCAACCCTTAACTTTAAAGTAGAGCGTAGTTCGCATAGATAACTTGACCTCTCGCAGCCCACATAACAAGCATCTGGCGATAAGTTGTTGGATGCAACGGCATTGGCTAAAAACGGTCACTTGGTTCAGCTACAGCGTGTGCCCGTTAACACTACCTTTAATTCGCCACCTTATAATAACTGACCACTTTAGGCCATGCTTTAGCAGGCATATTGATCCGCCAAACGCCGGCGCTTGTACAATAGGTCTCGTTCTTATATTCTGGTACGTTTTCTATATTTATCCCACAAAATAGCAATTGGCAAATGATTTCCTCGAAATTGCGACAATTGTACAGCAATGCTCTTCTCTGATAATTCTATTTATATTTCAATACACAGTTGAAGTGGGCGTCGTTTCTCGCCTTAGGTTTCAACGTTGACACTTTTTTCGCCAGATGATCTCGTCGGTGTATTACATCTCCGTTTGCTCTGAAAAACTTTCTCACCACAGTTTGTTTGTTTTTTTTTTCTTGTTTACGTAATTGCCACTTTACGATTTGACGCTTTTGTTGGCGTCAGGCAGCGCTCAATTACTCATGCTTCTGGTGTATCAGCTTTCATTTTCGCATCGTCTAAAATTGATCACTCAGGGTATCGGAAAATAGACAATTATTGACAAAATGTTTAGCTTCCATTCCTAGCTATTGATGTGTATTATTGTCACAGTTATATCTTCATTTCATCATCGTACTGATGATTTTTATCGTCTACTTAGTCCATCGTTGAAGCTTTTTCTGTGCATGAATACTTTTGATCCGCCCATCTACGTGTACAATGTGTCATATCCCAAAAAACCGCCGATCGATTTTCTGATTCTGTGTATTTCTGCCCATGTTGTTTTGTCCACATTTCCAATCATCGATACATCATCAGCGTCGATTACTGTGTACCCGTAAAGCTGGAGGACATTATTACTAATCCCTTATAGGTTGTAGCCTTCCCGTCAAACGCGTGACATCTTAACAGATGCTGCGGCGTTGTCAACTCGGCAGGTCATATTGATTTTACAAAGCCTTCGTTAATATCCATCGGTCATCAGGATCGTTCAATTCTCTTGTATAGCTAACAATAAAAAAGTCAAAAAATCTCACCTCGCACACAACAACATCGTAACAAAGGTCACCGGACGCCTCTAATGATTCCACCACAAATCCCCCCCATTCGCTTCCCAATGATTATATTTCACGATGTGTTTATCTGTCATACAATCAATCACCGGTGAAAATAAAGCACACCACCATCCAACTTAACTATATTATTACAACGATCTAAGTTTTTTTCATAATTATTGTCATCTCCAGTACTCCCGGGTAGCCTTGACGAGTTTTAAATCTTAAGTCAAAGGGCTGCCATCAGATCGCTTCCGCGCCTTAGCTCCTACCGGCTATTGCTGATACATTTATTTTCCAAGCAGGCGTCGTTCACATGAAACCGCTTTATACCGCGCGTTTCTGTTTTATTTTGTGGAGAAGAAATGTGTTCCTGCAACAATCATGTCTTTCTTCCATGTAGCTGTACATTTTTCGGATACTTTTCATGTGTAAACGAATCTATCTATCATTTCTGCCGGTATTAATTGGCATGCCCTTTCATTTGTCCCTATATATGTCTGATCGCTCTCTCGCGCGCTCGCTCTTCATAAGACAATAACAATCTAGTAGAGATTTAAAGTTTTAATAATAGCAATAATAATGGGCCTAGTTATCGTTAAGACTCTAGTTTTTTCGCCTTACTGTCTCGTTCCCCGCCATATTTATCGATGCTCACCTTGGCTTTATCTGGCTATTTCGATTCGCGCGCGTGCAGGTTCGCGCTTCCTCGGGATTTCTGCCCCTTACGCTCCTCCTGTCGATTATTTCTGTGCTATTTCCCCCCCCCCCCCCCCCCCCCAGTTCCGCATGTTCCGCGATTTTTCCTCTAATGCGTTCCTCAATTTCGGGATGGCATCGTCTTCTTTAATCCTGTTATCGCCTCAGCTACTCTCAACCGACCCGCTCTTTATTATCATGATATAACATATTATCAAGCTATAGCTGGTGTAACGGTGTCTTTAGCGAAACCATTCAACAGGACCTTTATAATATGATTATGACTAAGGTCAGGGAAATTGGCTTTATCTATTTTCCTTCTGCCGCTTTAACTCATGTCTCTATTGATAATTATTCGTCTAATAACCGCTCATAAACTGCACAGCGACAGGCGTTGGGGCAATCCACCTCTTACGTGTTCGAGACAAGCGAACACGGGAAGACAGCCTTACATTGCAAACTCGCGAAGACACACGACGGGAGAACAAGAGCCTGCCGGTCTGAGAGAAACACGCGGATTAACGTACGGCGGCCAACATGACTTGTCGCACAGTGAGCTTCCTATTGACCTTTAAAGGGGTCATCAAGTCGATCAAGTAGCTGTCAATCGGAGGTCAATGCGAGGACGTCCAAAGCTCAGCAAAGTTCATCGAAGTACATTCTTGCTATCTTTCTTATTTAAGTATAATTATTACTGTTATATTTTAGCATTTCATTATTATTTATGATAATAGTTTCGGTAATAGTAATAGTATTTATTATATTACTGTTATTATTCTCATAATGTTCCCTTCTTCTTCTTCGTTATTAATATTATTATTAGGGTTAGTAATATTTTTAAATAGTATCTACAACCCAACATCAACAAGGAGTACGAAAATAATTGCGATACCTGTGCCTAACTCCACCAAAGACCTCAAGGAGACGCTGGCTAGGTTAATTTCCAGTTACATATTATTATATATTAATAGTAATAATATATTATGGTAACTATTATTTAATAAATATTAGTATCGTTATCGTAGTGGTGTTTTTTTTTTAATTAATATTGCCTACCTAAAGGTTGATTCGATTCCGCGCAGTCGCGTCTAGCCACTCGAGGCAACCTCTTTTAGCGAACTTCGTATCCACTCGATGACCCGACCGGGCTTGGAATCGCACCCAACCATCAGTTTTACTACACAGGAGAAATAAAGGGTAATAGCAGGTGGTCTAGTAGCCATTCCAGTGGTAAAAGCGGTCATTTTTAACTCCCGTTTCAGTAGCCTCTACTTTTGTTCTCAGTTACATGTCGATCGCCTGGAAGAGGCCTCTGGAGACACCAAAAGCGATTTTCGACGGGCAGTTGACCCCGTACCGTTTACAGCTGTGGCTTCGGACTTATCTGCTGTTACTAGGTTCTGTGTATAGAATAAGTGATCACTCCAATTTTCTTAAACATGTCTTTCTTCATGGTAGTGAATGTGATGCTATGTTAGAGCGGCTGTCCTATGTACTACGAGTTTCTTCTCCTCGCTGCCACTGCACGGCGACACTTTCACTAATTTCCTCTTCAACTCTATTTGTTCCACTTACAATATTAGTTTATATATATATATATAATAACATCATGGTTAATATTATCGCACTGCAGCCTGGTTTGCCATCAGCGGATGTGCACATGGGTAATTCTGGCAGCGGAAAACACATTTGAAGGCAACGAAATCGACATATTGTATTTAACGCCTACTTATGACCGATGGCAGATCTTTGATTCGGTCACGCGCAAAAGAGCACACCATGCCAGTCGCAGGCGAGTGGGTGGTCCAGCAATCGGTCCGCAGGACGGGATGAGGTCGGGACCACAACACAGGTTATCTATGCTCAGGTAAACCCCTGGCTGAAAAAAATTTACATTTGTAACGGGGCAGGCGCACGAATGGCCAGTCCTAGTTCTAAAAAGGTCGGTCCATTGTTGAAGCCGGTTTCGCGTTATGACCTGACTGATTGTGCCAAGGATATTTTATGCCAAGCTAGCAACCTACTGCAAGACTAAGGATAGAAAAACTAATAATTGATAAGCGAAAATACACGAAAAGTTAAACAAAATTTGTTTTTGAATATGTTACAATATCTACAGTGCCTTCGCATTTATAGAAAAATACAAACAAATCTGCACATCGCCGCTGTGTGGATCGAAATCGTCTCGAAATTTTACCCTCACCGACTTTACCTTGAGTCGGTAAGGGAAAAATTCTCCTTGCCTTAACATTATGATCGGTACACACTGATCTATCAGACAGCCATGCCTGACCCGATCAAGTCAAGACCACAACACAGGTTATAAATATTATTGTAAATTATGTTATTTATTATTTTCGTTGCTCGCATAAAGCGGAGGCGGTCGGCTGTGGCGTGATGCACGGCCGACGCAAGCATACGATCAATCGTTTGAGAAATGTTTAGACAAGAAACGTTTGTTTAGCTTCAGAACAGCGCGTACTAGAATACAAAACGTTTCGTATCGCCTACCTCTTATTGAATCTTTAGTTACTCACAGACACACTTCTGTTATTTAAGATACAATTTTTTTTTTTAATTCTGAATCGTATATTCATGTTTCTGTTATTAGCCGTATCGAAACAAGTACAGCCATCTCTTGCTTCTATGCTCATCGAATCTGGGGTGTCCTGCTGCTCTATTTTTTTCACAAAATGTACACGCACAAAGTGCCAACTTGCTAATTATATGTCGTACTGAATGAAAACTATTGCTTCCAGACCGAGATAAATATACAGGTGAGTTGTAGAAGAAGCGATGGTACTATCAATTGTGTCTTAAGATGGCTTAAGATGTTTCAACCCCCCCCCCCCCCCTTTCACCAAATTTAGAATTGTCAGAGAATAGCATGTCATTGATTCATGTTGTTCGATGACGACTGGTCTTTAGGGCAGCAGCGGTACGCCCAAGTACCTTCTCAGCACAACAATGTTAAACTGAATGCGACCTCAGTGAATCATGACTGGCATCGCATACATCTCACTCTGTACTATACTATATACTGTGTATACTCACTTCTACTCAAGCTACCATGAAGCTACTGAGTAAATTAACGGAATTTAACTATTGATGGTCCTCTGTCATAATCTTCCGCTCTAGCTCGACATGCCTTTCGCCTTTTTCAGCTGAATAATAATCAACTGATGAGTTCAGTGCTGTTTTCGTCTGTCAATTAGGGTGATCTTCGCGGAAGTCTAGCGTGGGATAATACGACGCAAGAAGCCCAAAAAAAAAACACAGAAAAATCCATTCGGTCAAAATAATTTTCTCCTACGTAATGAATAGGAGTCTAGATGTCGCAAAACACTTATTTTTGCGTAGTCGCTTTACCGCACTGCTGTAATCCAAAGTGATCGCCATCAGTTACCATACTTACATACAATTTAGCGAAAGATAGGGAAGTTTCCTCTAGCATAGTCTTCAGGGAGGTCAGCTGAAATCCTTGCAGAACTTCTATCTATGATGTACAATATAGCGTTTATCTGGATTCAGTACGCTTGTCGCTGTAATTCAAATCGAAGTGTCTTACTCGTCAACAGCAATCAAACTCGTTTGATTACAGGATATCGTTGAAAAACTACGACAGATAGTGGTGGCGTCGCTAAAAAACATCGAATTTTGATGCCTCGTCCACTCGCTGCAAGGCGCTCAGATGCAAGCTTCGTATTTCGCGTTTTCCCGTCATAATCAATCATACAATAGTAAAACGAAGGTCATAATGATTCTTGAAAAGTAGTTGTTTAGTCGTGCCACGTTGATAGTCTAGTAAATTTAATTCGTCATCATTATCTCATGTCTATGTTATTCTCGCAGTCTGGAGCTTATACGTAGTAGTACCTCTGGTACTATTATATATATAATAGTACTACTAATATATTTTCGAGGTATGTTCTCCTGTACATTTCTGCATATCTCGGCCGATCAAGATCCGGCATTTCGGAATAACAATGAATGGGGTTTCATTTTTATGTATTTTTGTAATATCTGCGGCAAATAAAAGGCGCGAAAGCACGGACCTACGTCGTATGAAGGAATAAATAGGTACATATTGTACATTGATTACTAAGAACCACTTCCGCCAGTTAGGCTAGGTTCGTCCTGGCGTCTAGGACTATGAAAAATAGCCAGCAGTAACTTAACTTTGATTTCCGACAGCTTCACAATAGTTTATTTCTTATTAAAAACCAGCCACGTAACGTAATTGAGATCGCAATATAACGTGTCATGTTAACAAAGGGAGAGCAGTGAACACAGGTTAAGATGGACGTCCGACAAAATGAAATTTAAAGTTAAATTCTTATCAAAGCAGTTCGAAAGGCATATGAGTAAAGGACCACAACAAACAGAACCATTCATAGTATATTCAAGGAATTGTATTGGTCCAATGTATATTTGCTGAGGGGTAGCACTCCGTTAGATCCACATGAATGAATGTCAATTTCACGGACAGCTATTGTATCCGGCCAATCTTCTTTGGGCACATGTTTCAATACACAATAAACGGCTCAATTTCTATCTAGGTAAATTCCTAAAACTCGGGCAGTATTGCATCAGGCTTAGTTGATGTTAAAATTGAAGATATAGGTTGTCCTAGGTAGGTCTTGATCGTAAAGAATAAGCATGACACAGCCATTTCTGGAATATGCCGTTACAAGCAAATTTAAATTCAGATAATCCATTGGAACGGTCGAGTGCCACCTAGTGATCTAATAGCCTTTGATAAGAGAAGTAGTTTCAATAAGCCACAAAATTGGCCAGTCTAACGTGACTCTTTTTTGAGCTAACAGGATTCACTCAGTTACCGATGTGGCCTTCTTAGCAAAAGTCCGTCCTAGCTACTAACCATCCTTAGGAGACAACGCAGCTAATCGTCACAATTCAATCACTGCAATCAGTAATTTATATAGAAAATTTTATAGTATACCTACATGTCTGTTTGTGCCGTGGCATAAATAACCATAAAGACTAGGACAAATTAAGGGCTATTCTATCATCAGTAAGAAGCGTACCGTTCTGATATTAATTTCTGTCAATCTTCATGACACCATACCCGTGATATCATTCGAGTGTGTAAGTGTATATATATATATATATATGTATAATTTTTTCCTATTTTGTAACTCTCTTCTGATTCATTGTTATTTATAATATTTCTTATTGGATCATTCAGATATCTTCATTTTTCTCGTTATTATTTCCGGTAGTTGTAGAATTGTAATCATGATCCTTAAATATATCGGTGTTTAATAATATATATATATTGATATATAATCATTCTACTAAATCGTCTACTTCTTTGGTTTTTGCTACTGAATTGCTATCACAAGAGAGGTGCCGCTGGACCACTTGTGCCTTTGGGGCTTCTTATTTTTCTTTCCGTGTCCTGTAGTTTTAATACAACACTCCCACGTGCACGCTGTAATTATACCACATGATGAAGTCCATGACATGGCTCCGCGCGGGAAGGAGCTGGTGAAGTAAAATCCCCGGTGGGCGCGGCCTGGGCCGGCCGAAATGTGGCCAACGGCTGTAGAGTTAGTTCGAGCATGTATAATCATTTTTTGCCCCGCCCACTTCCTTTATTTCTCATTTTTTTTATTTAGGTCTCTGTGTTCCCTAGTGCCTTACACGTTATCAGCTCATGTATGTTTCTTTTAATTGGGTTTGTATGTGTGATTTTGCTGTCTCTACGAGA